TAGGGGAGGGCATAATTATTAATTAATAGGCATTATAGGCCATAGGAAATTTTGCGCCCCTTTACACCTGCGCCTGGGGTCGACTGCCTCCCCTCTTGCTACGCCACTGGGTGAGACTGTTAACTTTGCAAATTAGACGTAAAGTATAATCACTTCATATAGTAACACTTATTTCGCATTCTTTGTAGAACTGTTGTACAAATGTTATCCTGTTAGTTTTGCATAAATATTGTTACGCCTCTGTGTTCAATGGTTAATTTTCCGTAGAAATTCTTTCCGAAAACTTCAGCGATACAAGTTTTTTCTTAAATAAAACTCGTTTATTCTTTCTCAATACAACTTTGCAATACACTTAATTTCCACAGTCACTTCAACTTAAACACACGCTAGAATTCACAACGATTCACGCACTTTACTTACGGCTTGACTCGATTATCTGTCTTTGTCTGTAATTTCAGTCCTAATTCATTGTCTGGCGCACTTATATACAAGAATAGAGGGCGCGAAGAGAAGACTAGAGATGCCACGAACAGACATGATCCTTCTAGAATCTCCAGCGCGCATGCTTCCAGCGTCGCGTGACTTCCGCTGTCGCAACAATATGCTGTATTGGAGTTCAATTTATTCTGGAAGTGACAATTTTAAATGATGTCAATGGTCAATGGAGCCTGAATAATTGATCGCTTACAAACAAAACATGCAAATCAGAAGAAATGAAGGAACAGAATTCGAAGAACAAATAAAGTGTTACTGTTTCTCATTTGTAGAAGGTCTAAGAGGAAAAACCACAACATAATGAACTAATTCATTACAATACCTGAAAACTCTGACTTCACTTTTTCTTTTTACTCCCGATCAACAATCAAATATCTTTTCTTGAATTATGAATAACACGAATGGATTGAAATATTTAATTAAATTATCTCAAAATAAACCTTCATTTCGGTGCAATGTTGAAATTAGCTTGAATTCTTCATAACCTCTGAACAGTGGTTGACCCAACAGGTCACGGTGGTCTAGTATACTCATAATTTCCACGTTTAGTTGTATTAAAGCCAAATTGTGGAATGTGAAAATACTTTGAATTAGAAACTTAAAATTCCAGTAATCGTTTCATAAAAGAAACACTCACCCGGTAGACACCAACTTTTATCCCTGCATCCAAATTAGTCCAATAGGTGATAAGAGATTTCTTTTCAGATCGCTGAAACATTGAGGTTTGAATCAATAAATCAAACAAATCCACAAAACTGATGTGACCTATACAGTTACAGATAGTTCTGGCCTCTGTAAGCTAATGTGTCCTATGCAGTTAAGGTAGTTTTTGCTTCTGTAAGCTAATGTGTCCTATACAGTTAAAGATAGGTTTTGCACTGTAAGATGATGTGACCTATAATTTAAGATAATATTGCCCTGTAAGCTGATATGATCTGACCTACATAGTTAAGATAATTTTGCCCCTGCAAGATGATGCAAGAAACAGAGTTAAGATAGTTTTTGCCCTTGTAATCTGATATGACTTATATACTTAAGACAGTGTTTCTATGTTTTAAAGCTCGAATCTAATATATATATATATACATAGTTTTGTTGCGAAGCGACTCAGACCAACGGCGTTTTTACCAAATGACAACTGCCTTTTAAGTATATTAGATTTCAGTATTGTTTATTCAAACAAATATAATAACAAGCACAGTTAGAAATTCTTAAACCATTCAAGAGTTCCTAGAGAAATTCAATACTAAAAGGAAACGAAAAAAGAAAACATCATATGGCCTAATTTTTATATTATTATATTCTAAACACTTTAGATACACTTTTTCAATATCATGTAGACTTTAAATACATGTACTTAAAATCATGTAGACTTTAGATACACGTAGTGAAAATTATGTGGACTTTAAATACACTTACTTAAAATCATGTAGACTTTAGATACACGTAGTGCAAATCATGTGGACTTTAAATACACGTACTTAAAATCATGTGGACTTTAAATACACGTACTTAAAATCATGTGGACTTTAAATACACGTACTTAAAATCATGTGGACTTTAAATACACGAAGTGAAAATCATGTGGACTTTAAATACACGTACTTAAAATCATGTAGTTTTTATACACATGTAGTGAAACTCATCCAGTCTTTAGACACACGTACTTAAAATCATGTGGACTTTAGATACACGTACATAAAATCATGTAGACTTTAGATACACGTAGTAAAATCATGTAGTCTTTAGACACACGTAGTGAAACTCATCTAGTCTTTAGACACATCTACTTAAAATCATGCAGACTTTAGATAACTAGCATGTAACACAAACGTTCATTTCAAAATTATTGGGATGTAGGGATTGAAAAAAATCAGAAAATAGAGAGCAGTTGGGATGGGAGGAAAATCTGCATTACCAAATCCTGCATTTCACCACTCATACACTGCATCCAAAATGTGTATGGATATATGCGTTAGGTTCCACCACTCATACAATGTACTCACAGGGTGTGTGCATATATACGTTAGGTGGTGGAATGCAGGAATGGGTAATGCAGATTTTCCTCCCATCCCAAGTGCTCTCTAGTTTCTGATCTTTTTTCCATCGCTACATCCCAAGAATTGTAGAATAAAAAGTTTCGTTACTAGTTTCTGCACCTGTTTTTATGATTAGTATCACAGGTAATGCCATTTAGTGATTGATATGCGTATTGGGCAATATTAAACAATCTGTATCATTGCATATAGTTTGGGCTGTTAATAACCTAGCGTGAATCACTTGGGTTTGAAAAGTCACATCATAGGGGTATTGAAGTGTTTTGGTGTGTAGACTGGAAGTAGACACACTATAGTTTATGAGTTACAGCTGACGGAGAAAAAGAAAGAAGAAAAAGATAATCGATGTTTTTGTGGTCCGTTTTCTAGACGTCAAGGAGGGTTAGGGGTAGTTTTGTGTTTGATTAGTGACGGGCTTTTCGTCTCTTTCCTTTAGCTGGGTTTTGCTAACGTCCTGTCGTACGCGCTACCATACGCAATGTACAAGCCGCCATTTTTAACCTGATCCATCCCTACTGGTAAACTCGGTTAAATCTCTGATTCTTATAAATTACATGTAAGGGATACTTGAATTCAAAATTTGTAACGAGTATTAATATTTCTATTTTACAGGATTATTTAAAATCTGAGGGCTTCATTACCACCCTCCACCTCCCCCCAACACAGGCCCATATCTAGCTACGCTCGTTCAGCGATTCCAAACTAGAAACTATTATTGTGAAACTTTTTTTTAACGCTATATATCGGAGGTGGGCAAAACCCAGATAGCACTTGTGTAACTTTACACGAAAGCTCTAAACAAGCAGTTTGGGTAATATTTTACGCCTCCATTATCGACTCCATATCTTAAATCTGATGCCCACTAAGGGAATAGCGTTAAGTCTGAGGGCATAGAACGCTTTAAAGAAACAGGTTCGATACCCATAGTGGGCACAGTACAAATAGCCCATTATGAAGCTCTGTGCTTAACAATAAAAGAACAAACAAACATACAAGAAGTATGCCAACCTTTACTAAGTTAGACGAAGTAGCCCTCTAGTTATTAAATGGCCCCCAGTGGCACAGCGGTATGTCTGTGGACTTACAACACTAAAACCGGGTTTTGATACCCGTGGTGGGCAGAGTACAAATAGTTATTAAATGTAAAAGTTTTCCTATTTCCAATAGACCGATCGAGATGCAAAATGTAAACGTAAAGTGAACACTTGGTTTTCCAATTTTGGTGACTTATAAATAGTCTAATGTTGGACAACAAGAGCACTCTGACAATAACTCGATTTTTATATGAATTGTAAATTTTAAAAAATCTGCCATTAATTTGATCAGGTACGAACAAAAATATGAATAAAACCAACATTATTTTATGACAAGCGTTAGTTACTATTGGGTTGGTTTAACACACTGATAATTAAGATACGTTTTTCATAAAACACGATTTTTTATTATAAAAAAGGGTAATGACTTATGTATCAATGTTCAAGCTCTAAAAAATATTTAAATTATTTTACTGTTAACGTTTATTAGCAGCTATATGTATATATATATATACATATATTACCAATGAGCTGGCCAGGGTTCCGACATCAGATCCCAAGCTGCTCAACGACTTTGGCCCCTTTTGCTGGAACACAATTTCTGTCCACTCTACTTTCCACCATTGGTTGGCCAACTCAGATTCAAGTCTAATTTTGCTATAAAAAATAAAAGATCAGGAGAGATTCAGTTAAATTTGACTCCAACTTCGAACATAAAACAATTTTCTCAGAGTTTAACTTAAAATAACTCATTGATTCCTTTTTTCTTCACTGAAATTCCACATATTAGCGAGAAGAATAATTCACAATTAA